TTTCTTTTTTGCAGCCTAGTGCCATGGTCAGTAATATCCGTGATGTCTTCATTAATATGGTCAATAAATCGACATGGATGGATTCGAAGTCAAAAATTGAAACGATTAAAAAAGTAGGATTATCAAGAAAACAATGACGCAATAGGATTACAATAAATTTCATACAGGTTCGAGGTATAAAAGCAAAAGTTGGTTATCCTGATTATTTCAAGAACGATTATATGATGAAACTTGAGAAAGAATATGCAGAAGTATAGCATAAAAAATCATTTATTATCTTTATCAAGTATTTTTCATTTTTTGCTTCAAATCTAGTATAATTTCAATTCATCTTTGATGTTGAATGCTTTGAAGTTAATTCAACTTAATTCGAAAAATGCACTTCGAACACTTCGTGATCCGGTTGATAAAAACGAATGGATGATTACTCTGCCAACAACTATCAGTTCCACATATCACATCTTGTTGAATGACATTAGTAGGAGATATGTTCTAACAATAACATATAGTTTATCTGATGTATTCTTTAGCTATTCCTGCAGCTTTTCTTCAAAACCCTTTTTTCAACAACAATGTGCCAAAGTAACAGTTTAAGTTCATATAATAAAATGTGTTCTTTATATATGTTTGATAGGTACATCAACTATGGTGGTAGGGACAAGTTCGATTTGAAAATGAAAAGAGAAAATAAGTATTGACTTTAGGAATTGGTTTCGTTATTGGACATGAGATTGCACATGGTTTTGATGATGATGCTCGAAAGTATGATATGCATGGGAATGAATTTTCGTTATGGACTAATAGGACCATTGAAGCATTTCATAAACTCAAGCAGTGTGTTGTCGATCAATACAACAATTATACATTGACTCAAGTCAATCAACAGGTCTTTCTTCCTTTCTTTAAGTTTCCACCTGTGTCAAAAAATATCTTTTTGTCATTTAGGTCGCAGGTGAACGTACAAAAGATGAAAACCTTGCTGATATTGTTGGATTGAAAATGGCTTTCTTCGTAAGTTTCATCAATCACTCGTTGTATTTTTCCATCTGTTTATTTTCAAGGCCTATCGGGAATGGGCTCGAACTCATAGAAACGTCGATAAGAAGTTGCCAGGTCTCACAAAGTATTCAGCTGAACAGATGTTTTTTCTCACTTTGGGTCATGCATGGTGTGAGAAAATGTCCGACGCTGCCGCAAAGTTTTATTTGATAGCAGATATACATTCATCTCCTCAATTCAGGTAGAGTGTTCGTTTTATACAGATCGTTGTATTCTCATGAATGAGTTTTTTCTTTAGAGTAATTGGTTCCACGTCGAATTTCGTCGAATTCGATCGAGCATTTGGTTGTAAACCTGGTCAAAGCAATAGTCGAGTGGATAAGTGTAATGTGTGGTAGTACACAGTTACTCTTATTTCGAATAGTGACAATTAATAAGTTATTGACATTTAATTGTTCGAGCTCGTTATATTTATCCATGATCACATTATATTTTTACTAGTGAGAACCCGTGCATACTGCACTGTCGGTTTCTCGTTTAACGTATGACTTCAGACGTTTCACTTTTCATCCGATAATAGACAAACAGATACGCGATATCATGTATATAGATGGGTGTGGGTGTAGGTGTGGGATGTGGGTGTGGGTGTGGGTGTAATTGTTCTTCTCAGTAGCACTCACACCCACACCCCTATACCCACGCCCACCACATCCACACCCATACTCATATACTCACACCACACTAATCTCGTTTAATCAATTCTATGGATTCTGTAAATATTGATATGGACCTTCATCTTAAATATATCAACTAGCCGCGTGACAATAAATTTTCTACTGTCCATGCTTGCATTCCTTGGTAAATTAGGGACTTCACCTATTCATCAGATAATTTTTATTGTTGAAGTTCAAAGCTACAAATTTTCGACTACAGTTTGACTACCTTTAAATGCCCTTTTTTATACATCTATTTTCATGATTAGATTATTTTCATATCACCCATTGCCCTATTTTGACTTATCAATGTTAATACACTTTTTGGTATTCTCATATAATACCAACCTGAAAACATCAAACCATCACACATTTTCAATACCATATTTATAAGACAACTGGTCCTCAATATTTTTTATTATAAAAAAGTTCGTTTTATAATTCTTGTTATACTTCGAAAAACTGCAATATATTAAACACTACTACCGTATAAAATATTATAAATCGGCGTCATTCTATATTTTCGTTAGGTCTATTTCTTCACTGTCACTTATCCGATCTTGGTCAAGATTACACTTTAGACATTAATCAGATCTACCTGCTTCGTATGAAAAGCTCACAAAAACTCCTAAAATGAAATATCCCATGTAGTCACAGAATACGTACAATCACTTCTCAATAAAAATACAATTTCCATAATTTGATTTCCTCCTAGAACGTAGATTACAATTAAAATCATTATTATATGATGAATTGCCACAAAAATCAAATTTCTCTCTATAGCAAACAAATGTAAAAATAGAATAAAAACTAAAACAATTCTATTCCCATTTCTGACAGTAGTCATCACATAACTCCCATTTTTTTGACAAAATTTAATAAGTTACTACATTCCACATTCTTGAATAACTTCTAGACTCTGTCTGCTGAGACTCCTACTTTTCTACGATAAAACATTATACTATA